TTGAGGGGCAAAGACAGCCAAGGGAGATAACTGTTGGTCAAGTGTTCGGAGTAAGTTTGTATATGTTTTCATCAAATGAGAAAAATGTTTCTGTGTATAAAACGAACAGTCGTTGAACAGCTAAATTTTCTGTTTCTATTTACCCAACATATGATGACAATCTGATTCGTTTTTTATAGTTTTTCTGAAATGAAACAAAATGAAATTGACTTTAACGTTCTATTGTTTCTTGTTTTCACTAGCAGAGAACGAAATTGTGCTAGACTTTCTTCGATTTATCGTGCTCCCTAGTGGGGGCCATCGAAAATATAAACATAAACAAAACGAAATATAGATCTGTATTTTGATCAGGTTGCATGCCGTGGATGTTTTATATAAAGGGGAGGGGAGGGGTCGAATGGTCTAGAATTGCACCATAATGTTAGTGTCGAAATAACCTGGTTTGTGTCGAGTGTACGTTAAATCCCATTTCGACCCTCTGATATCTGTTTTTATACAACAATTCTACAATTAAATTATGTTGACCAGTGATTTCCTAAACTAGAGAAATTTATAATTTTTGAGGCCGTGTTGATAACAATTAACATAGACCTGATAAAATTCAAATTAATAATGACAGCCGGCAATACTAGACATTTTAAGTTAAAATTAATATAAAGAGGTGTATAGGGATATGTCACCATATTAAAGTTGCTGTATGACGATGCTGTACCAAAAACTGACGTAGTGAGCTCTCTATGTCTCAGCTATATCTATTGATATGTTTTTCGTCTTTGTCTCCATACTCTCTCTCGTCATTTGTCAGTGTAATTATACACAGCGTATGGATAATACAGGTATTAACAGATCGCCTGTATAATACATGTATGTTACAGTCATACAGGTCTCTCTATTTGACGCGCTTTAATTTGAGCCCGATTACCGAATTTACACACTTTAGAATATTTTGTCGATAACTTTTTGTAAGTGTTAATATTTTGAAATCAAACTTGCAAAGGCAATTGATATACATATTCATAATCGTAATCGTAGTAGTGGTAGTAGTATAAGGATGTAGTCGCAGTCATAACAGTAGTCGTAGTATTTTTAATCGTAGTCGTAGTAGTGGTCGTACTCGTAGTCGTCGTCATTTTCGTAATAGTAGTTGTGGTAGCTTAAAAGATTGTGTTTAAAGCAATATAATGTATTGGATCTATATATTATAGGAAGAAGATTTAATATGTGGTAGAAATAGAAGACGAACCATCATAACAAAGATTGAAACAGAACTTCTATATTTACATAGAATAGTGAGTAGTTTTACCTACGGTGTTATTGTATTATTCTTTATTTACGTAGAATTGTGAGTAGTTTTATCGTCAGTGTTATTGTATCATTCTTTATTTACATAGAATAATTTGCATGTATCGTTCTTTATTTACATAGAATAGTGAGTAATTTACACGTTAAACCACGGGGTTAATGTAGTTTTACGTGTTTAACCACACTGTTATTGTATCATTCTTTATTTACATTTGAATCGACAAATTTATTGGAATATGTGGACGTGAAATATTTCAGCATGTCGATCAGTAGACAATAATTTTAGATTCGACCTAATTACGTTACATGTTCACAAAGGATTTACAAATAGATGTTAGTATTATGGTGGCTAACTGAGTTAGGCGCTGGTTCACAAACGAGGAGGTCCCGGTTTCGATCCAAGTCTAGTTTGAGAACGTTCCTTGGATTTTTCAGCGTTTTTGCCATTGGTTACAGGACGGGGGCTGGCAAGGAAGAACATCTAGTCGTTCATGATTTGTGCTGCTTGCTATACAATACGCCTGCTGCCATTTTCTTGTGGGCGAACATAATTTAAATCGAATTAAATATACGTTGGAAGGTTATCTAGGGTTGGTATTTTGATTTTGTTGTCTTAATTATATGTTTAAAAATAAATCGGAGTCTATATTGGCGTGGATTGGGCAGTGATAAATTCGATATTTTAGCGAAAAATAAAAATGACTCATCGTTACTGCGTCTTTAACTTTGGGTTACTCGTTATATTACTTGAAGTGAAGTATATGGATCATCCTGTCAGTATAAATTGAAGTCTCTTAATAACCTAGGTCTAAAGAATATCTAATAACGTCATGGGCTACAATACACTAGTAACAAAACCTAGTAATTACTGTCAACCAATAATCAATCACTGGAATCTTTAAATCATTGACTTAATCTACTATTGATCTTATAGTTAGAGGGAGTATCGCGAAGCATACAATCAAATATCTACTACTAGTAGCTAATGGGTTAAAGTCCGTCTCCACCGAGGCTGATGTTGCAGACAAAATCGAACGTCTTCTCCCTTACTGTAGACGGACAGCGAGACTTCCATAACTGGCTTTCCTGACAACAATGCCTCAGATGTTAGTCTTACTCACGCCTTTAGGGTTGCCTTGACCACTTTACCTTACTCGGTCTTACAATTTGAAAGTTATGTGGACTCCTCAAATGAGAAGTGGTATCAATTAGGATACGATTTCCATGGTTAAAGTAGTTCAGATGCAATGATGTGTTTCGTGCATAAATGTAATAAGTTGAGAACACTTAGCTAATTATCATATTTGAAATAATCTTAGATTAAACAATTATTGAAATATTTCCGAAAAATAAACGACCGGAATAAGCGACTTTAAGTATAGAAAAAACCTTTAGTATATTATTAGTAGCTGCGCTTAAAAACAGACACGAAGCTTGTTAGCCGACATTTAAATTCCTAAATCGACGGGTTTAGACGGAAACACTAAGTATAATCAATAATTATTCTGCTTCCAGTTAATGCAATTGTATATGTTTATTCTTTGTGACTATGAAAGATATAATACGGATTAGATCCCCATTATAAGATATGATACTAATTTTTGAATATGGCTGAAATCCAGGACAGAGATCTATTCTGCAAGTAGATAGTTCTCTGTGTGCAGAATGAATGGTGTATTACAAAGCGTATATTATCTTCATAAATTTGTTTTATTACGTCGCTCAAACTCTATTGGTTAGATTTCAGCTCATATTTTGAAGACAGAAGACTGTATTACAAGTTGTGTCAATGGCTACTGTTTGCTATATAGATTACAATCGGCGTTGGGTTACATATCTTAATTAAAGTTTATATGCCTCTGGGAATAGCAATACTATGGAAGCGTAAAGGTGTCAACAGTGTCATAGATACCGCAATATTAATATCGTAATGTCAACATAATGAGTTAACGCGATATGTTGTATTTCGTCATTTTGTTTTAAAGGCGAACGTTTGAGTTAAGATATTGCCAACATATCCCATTTCGCCATAGTATAAGACGAATCTTAAGAGCAGCAATATTAAATAGCAGTTAAAACGAAATGAAGACATACACCATAAGGTGTAAATTCATTTAACTCGGCAAAATTGATCTTTTCAGGGTAAAACCATCCCAACGAGCTCAGTGTGTTGGCATATTACCATACATGAATATCGCGATACCTATCTATTGGGAGCCATGTGGCCCAGTTAGCAAGATGTTGGCATGCTAACCCGGAGGTCCCGTGTTCGATCCCTGCGTTGGTCGACAAGTTCGTCGGGATTTTCCGACGTGGTTCCTCCTTGTCAGTAGTACCGGACAGAGGGCCTGACAAGGGACAGCGTATAGTCGTTCGTATGGGACGAAACCGAGGTCCTGTGTACACATTAGCGTGCACGTAACACAACCCTCATAGTACACTGTATGGCGTGTGTCGTCTTCATCAGCCTCGTCTGGGATGAACAGTAGGACGTTAAACTCTATTTCATTCATTTCTATCTCGCTATTGGCCTTTATACGCTTCCGTACATCTTGAAACAACAATACATGTCAGCATGGGAGTATAGTCCGATATAGATTGTCAATGTGATCAATGTGTCAGACAACTTTGTTGGAACATATATGAACTAAGTGAATCTGGATTGTAGAATGTAATCTCCGTGTTGAATTATGTGACAGCCTCACAGTTCAGATTAAAATTGCTTTTAGGTGGTGATCATATTGCTAGGTTTCTTGTGTCGAAAATGACGTGGTGTCCATCTTTGTGAAACATATCCACTCTCTGGTAGTTTCTGTCAAAGTTGGTCTCAACAGATCTAGTTTCAGTTGATTTATGTCGGAATTATAAATTCAGTTAGCAGTTTTTGTAGGACAGAAATATTCTTTAGTCAAGATATTTTAATTATGGTGTGATTTTGAAAGAACAAATTGTATTTCAGACGTATAGAAACGATCACGTTGTGGTGAGTTTAAACAGTTATTGTTTGCTTAGATAATATATATTCTCCTGTGTATACAATACATTTATATGATATTCAGCTGTGTAGTTAGATTGAGCTAATGTCTAAAAGTATAATTTCGTTTGCGTTATTGTTTCTAAGTAAACATATTTCTTTTCGTTTACCCTAACTTTATTATCTGAACGGAAAAAATCCGTAAAGAAAGAAAAGGAGTGCATTTTTTTCGGCGGATAACCCAATAGCTGCCAGTATATATCTCTAGCGTGTTTACGTCCCATCCGAACGACTACACACAGCTGCTTGCTAGGCCTTTGTACTACACCATTGTAATCTAGGGTGAAGCCACACCTGAAAATCTAGGTTAGTGATTTGGCGCCGTATACACTGGTGACTCCAGTGTATTTTGAGAGTTCAAAGTTTGTCATGAATGTAGTTGTTTTGTTTTTGTACTTGGTTTTGAATATCTGATCGGACGGGGTCGCATAAGGTGACCAACGTCATTAACCTTATTAATAGGATTAATTAGAATTAACAAATATCTGCGCTTGTTTCTGGAAGATATATATCCATATATAGGCGACAAACAGGTGCCCGTATTGTGATTGGTTCGTTACACGTTATTTTGATCATAACATAGAGTTACTAATTGTTGACAATATATCTCATATTACACATATTTCAATAATTCCTATACTTAACTGGATATTTATACGTTCTACTTGAATCTTGTTGAGTTCGAAAAGAGATTTTGAGAATTTAAGTTGTGTATTTGGAGACATCTTCAGGTTAAGTTGCTTTTGTTGTCTATTTGAAGATATCTTGAGGTTAAGTAAAATGATATCATTTAGGTAAATTTCTTATATTTTTCTGTTTTCGTCGATGATAATTAAAATGTTTTATTTATTAGATTTTAATTTATCCATTTGGACATTTTCGTTTTATTGATCATGGATCGTATTCACGAAAGCCTAAACTAAAATATTTTCAGAATGTAGCCTTCTCATTGGGTTAGAGCTAATATTTGCACTATGCTTTTAAGCCTCAAACAATGAAACGGCCGCATCCTTTTAGTTTTAAGTCTTCATGAATATGCCCCAGATCATTAAATGAAATGAAATAGGGTTTAACGTCCTACTGTTCGTCCCCGACTGGTCTAATGAAGACGGGTATACGCCATATAGTGTGCTATAAGGGACATTTGGTGCTACGACCTACTCTCATGGGGAATTCCAACTATCAAGGGTTCTTGTACGTGCACGCCAACTTGGACACGGGATCTCGGATTTTGTCTCATCCTAACGACTAGAAATTACTAAATTCGTGTAACTAGTTTCAATGTTACGAATTGTTCATATCGCAGCGAGGAACCTATTTTTATGTTGTCTACCACAACTTAATTTAAAATTCGGACATAAATCAATTTGAGCTTTAGCCGTTGAGATCAACCCACATGGTCATTCTGATTTGGCTTTTCATTTTTCACTGTCAATGACAGCGTCTAGTCGTAGCTTCTCGGTTCGGGTTAAATTCCTTAGCCGTCGGTGCAGAAGAGTAAAACAGGCGTGTCTTATTTCAACCCTCTCCTATAAATATAAACAGCTAGCGGATGACTTGGCGCTGCACGGGTTGAAAGAAGTATAACGTCCAAACCGGAAGTGGTAGTCCAACGCATACACTACCCCCGAGAACCAGTGTGTCATTGCCATTCTCACTGCGGCACCGTGGTTCCTGCTTGAAAATTCTCGAGAGGTTCGTCCCTGGAATTCTAACCCGCGGTAAGTTCCCAACCACTCCACCACCGGGGCCCCACTTTTAGGTTGTATACGTGACTTAATAAATACATGTAACGTATTTACACGTACTCGACGAATTATGAAATTACGATTAAGGATAATGACTAACCTCATTACGATATAATGGTCGACTGAATAACCCATTAATTGGTAACAATTTATTATTCTGTTGACGTGTTTATGATTATCAGATTACAATTCAATCACGCGAAAAGTTCACCAATATTTTTTTAATGTACATGTAGTCATATTTATTTTTACTATACAGAAAATAAATCCCAGTATAGTAAATAAGATTATTTCCCAGATATTCATTTGCATATCGGATTTTTCGCGTCTTGATCCACTCTATAATATAGTCGAATTCAATATTTAAAGATACATTATATAAGATTTAGATACAGAGCTGGCCGTTCTATGCCATAATATTTCAAAAATAGATAATGCAAAATGAATATATTGAAAATTTCATTTAAATGACAGTAGATTTCACAAGATTTTCGTAACCAAGGTACTAATACATTCGAGACCTACTCTTGCATTCACATTTTTAAATTAAGTCATTAAATGGCCAAACCGTTCTAATCTACTTCAAATCGGGGCCACTCGATGGCATCAAGGGTTGATTGCGGTCTTGTCATGTTAATTAATTTATAATTTATATAACATTTAAGACCTGCAATAGGATTTAGCTCTTGATTAATGTATCTTTAATAATGAATTAAGAAGAAGTTGAGTGTTGTCAATATATCATATCTTTGTAAATAATGAACGGAATTGAACCAGTTGGACTAATATTTCAACTTCCACAAAATTACAGTTTTCAACGACCGGAAGCTTTAAGCGGATACAAATTTATCCCCCCATACTACCACTAACGAAATAATACGAACTATAGACAACAAAACAACTAATTTGTAAATTATATTAACCTTCCCCATTAGTATTACAATCTTTAATTTATATTAGCCACTTTATTATTACATCGCCCACTCCCGCATTATTATTATACCACATATAATTATATAACCCCTTCCACTATTATTATTACCCTCTTTATTTACCCCTTCCCACCCTTTATTATTAACTGTTTATTATTATGTTTATTATTAACTAGTATCCCTTTTTATTATTTGCCTTTTATTACTGCCACTTTAATATCACTCCTTTGTTATTAGCCATGTTGGATTATGTTGATCGGGTCACATGTAACTGTTATTTCAGGATTATTGGGAAATATTCAGTATGACAGACGACGCCATGAATGCCAGTAACTTAGATATATGCAAGTAGGTATAACATATTATTTAGTTCATCTGATCTATGCCGTAGCGTCGCTGTCTGGGCAAATGTATGGCGTATGCGCGTCTTCATTAGCCCAGTCGTAGCAAAACAGTAGGACGTTAAGCCCCATTTCATTTCCTTCCCATTCTTTACTTTGTATATTTAAATATATTCCTGAAATTGAGATGCCTTACATCTTTTGAGATCTTGTCAGACCCTGACGTTTATTGTCCAGGCCACTTAAAGATGTATTAGGTAAGAGGTAAAGCCCATTTCATTTCTAACTCTTTCCATTTTTAGCATGAATAAGATGCTAATTATGACGTTACAAATTAACGTTTGTAATCCCAATAACACATTGGGAATTGACCTATTTGTATAAACATTAAAATATTACAACTATTACATTTCCTCTTCGTTTTCAGACAAGATGTAGTGTTTCAACACTTTCCCATGCATAGACTGAGAGAGAACCCAGGAACATGGACGGTCATGAAATATAAGTAAGTTATTTATATTAACCCAAACCGTATATTCATTTACCAGGTAAATTGATAAGACAATGCCAATGTTTGAATGTTCTGGTCATTGCCTATAAGAAAAAAAGCATATCTCATCCCGTTTCTCAAACCAGATGAGGTAAGCTTATCCGCCGAATTTAATAACATAGATATTAGAACTCTCATATTGTTCGAATGGGAGTATACACTAAATATTGGAGCTCGCACATTGTTCCACTCGGTTTGTACATTGTGTATTTGAGCTCTCATGTTGTTCCGGTGAAAGTTTTCACTGTGTATTGGAACGATCACACTGTTCTAATGAAAGTTTGTTCTGTGGTGTATGGGAACGCTCATATTGTTCCAACGGGTGAGGCTGTCTTGTTTGCGTTCGAATTCCAATGGGGGCGTGTGCTGTGTATTGAAAGTCTTATTATTATCCAATATGTATTGGAACTCTCGTATTGTTAAGTTCTCTTTTTGTTAATGAATTTTCTATTTTGTCACTTGTTAGGATTATACATTCTCCTTCCTGATTATGTTTATTGCACTATCATTATTACTGTCTCCAACAGTAATTAAGGTGATTTTGTTAGTGGGCAGGGCGCGATGGCTCAGTGAGTAAGACACTGGCTCGCTAACCTGGATGCCTTCTATCTTGGTGTTGGCTGAGATGGGACTAAAATCCGGGGTCTTATGAATTTGATGTAAGAGTAGGTCATATAGTGCCGCTTTTCCTGGCAACATTTCCCTTTTAGCACACTGCATGGCTTATGTCCGTCTTCATTAGCCCTGTCGCAGTAGAGCAATAGGACGTTAAACACCATTTCATTTCTTATTCATGATTTATTTTTATATAGATACGGACGACTTATTGTACCTGATAGTAATAAAGTGGATTGGATATATGTTATTAAATCGGTAAGTTACGTTTCACTATACATTTGAAATTCTAAATCCCATTCTTATATGTATTTTAAATAGCCCTGGTCCATCTGTACCATGGTAAATCCAGCCTCCTATCTGCTTACTTTGCTTAATGGTAAATCCAGAACTGGCACCACCCACCTGTTTTCGTCACGTTCAAGGGAACAGATGATTTTATAATGAAATCCCCACCACACCCAACCCCTTTATTTTCTGATTACAGGGTGAAGCTAGAGTATATAAATATTTATCACCTGGTCCTGTAGATGTCAAGGCCAGGCGTAAAAAAGTTCAGACTATGTTGAATGAACAGTCGCCATTTTATCGTAGAAAACAGATGCTTGATTTTATAGAAGATCGAGACTACAGTAAGTCAAATTTACTCCCTTACAACCGATGGCCTGTTTATAGAAGACAGAGTACCTATGTATTCCAGTACAGCCAGTCAATAGCTCTTTTATAGAAAGCAAACGTTTCCACACATTTAATCTCAATATGATTTCTCACAGCCTGTCCCTCATTCTCTACCTAGTTCACTGAACGAAGGTGTGCTGCTAAAACAGTGGGCACATTCAGAGATGGGCCTCAAGTATCTTTATCATCATTATGGCTGACAACTTCCAGGGTTCAATGTCCCGTGCTTTACAATATGAAATACATAATTTAAATAAACCCTGAAAATAAATAAAATATGTAGAAGGATGAAGGAATAAAACAACGAAAGAGCTGTGGTCATCACATGGATCATAATCTACAGCAGCAGCTTGATGAGGTTCAGTTTTAAAATCATCAAGGAATCGTCTAAAAAAATCTAGGGATAATAACATAACGATCATACAGCTACATGGTCTTATTGATATCCAACTATATATTTCTGTCACAGCCGCGGCGGTTCAGTGAGAAAGAAGTTGGGTCGCTAACCTGGAGGTTCCGTTTTCGCTCCCGATGTTGGCCGAGAGAGTGGTTCCCAAAACAACGGGCGTGCCAAGGGACAGTGTATAGTCGTTCGGTTGGTGGGGCGAAAAACCAAGATCCCTTGTACCATTGGCAGTTGGAATTCGATATAAGAGTAGACCGTAGTACCGCTGTCCGGGCGAAATTACCCTCATAGCACACTGTATGGCGTATACGGAGAAGAACAGCAGGACGTTAAACGCATTTCGTTTTATTTATATTTCAGTTAATAAGATAATATATATTTTCTTTATTCTAGTCAAATCGTCTTACAAGCCCGGCAGTTATCATCCGGCCATGAGAGCAGGAGCCAAATCGGCCCCACCTGGTAAAGCAAGAGATGTGCGCTTTAACGCTCACAAAATAGCCGCCGCTTTTGCTAGTTTACCTATAACACCCCAGACTGGTGTCGTCACTAAACCGGAAGTGAGATTAGATACTAGATTACCGCAGATAATATTAACTGAGGAGGATGAAGACAATAATTCAAAGTGCTCGAATGACAGTGATGAACACAAAGAAAGTGATAATTGTTTGAATTTAACGGACCTTCCGGAGGGGGCGGTCGGCTATTTGAACAGAGACCGTAGACCGTCGATTGGATTAGGACTAGGGATACCTATGAGAAATCGTTCTGGCAGTTTCATGAGGACACCGATGACGTCACGTGCTAAGCCAGAACAATTTGTAAAAGTTGGTAGAACAACGTTTCCCGCCTTTGTTCATGTGGAGACATTACATCCGGGTCACACATTCGTAAGTACATACTACTATTTACAAAAATTACATATAACGTTGTTTTCGAGGGAAGTAGAAATTAAGAAATGGAGTTTAACATCCACTTGACACAAAATAGACAATTTCGAGACTAACATATGGCTTAGTTTTATTTTACTCATTCGCTTGCGCGTACGGTGAACCGGAGGACCCGGAGAAAACCCACGAGGTTGGGCAGGCGACCGTACTCCGTGTGACATGCAAGAGGCGAATCGAAACCACACCACGTGACTCAATGAAAAACCTTGTGATCCAAAGCGCAAGCGTTGAACACTCAGCCACCCAACATCCTCAAGGGATGTAGATATTAGAGACGATGAAGCAAACTCGTGTTTATATGGAATATGAATCTCTTTTAATTCGAATATTTGGCGTAAGTGCCGTCAGGTTCGAGATAACGTAAAACATTTGTACGCCATTTTATTTATTTTGTATATTTATGTATTTGTACATGTGATTTCAGGGATTAAGAGCGTGTTTAGATGCTGATGAAATGGGACCATCAGTCAGTCTGGTAAGGAAATAAATATTTGTCTCTCGAACGAAAAACAGTGAAAAACAAAGAGAGAGAGAGAGAGAGAGAGAGAGAGAGAGAGGTAACGTCCACTCTACACTTTCCGGGAGTACAGTAACATTTAACCAGGGATCCAACCTGATGTTGATGAGCAATTTGTATTAATCAACGTGTTCTATTTCGGAAGTCGTTAAATCCCATTTCAATTCATTTCATGTCGATTAATAATGTTATGAAATTACGTTTTTACAGGTTAGTGGTGATTGTGAGGTTTTACAAATCAACCGGAAATACTTCATGAAACATTGTGACGATGCCCTTTATAGTTTAATCAGATTAAAGGTACGTGTCGAGTGGCTTTGCGAAGCAATTGCGGTTGGCAAGACAACGCCTAGTTCTGTGAAGGTTTACAATATCGAACCGATAAGTCAGAGGTCAGGCAGCCGGTGGGGCCCCAGGCCCAACTGCCAGCCGTTCATGATCAAATCCTTCTTATATATATAAATCTAGCTTTGTCGAGATCAGAACCCTGGTGGCAATACAGGCCAGACTGCGCACGCACTGTTCTAGTACTTGTACCCAGGAACAACGCCTGGGTGGAGCCTGTATGGCCATTGATACTACCCTGGATACTGCTACTCTTGAGACACTTCTGTGCCTTTAACTTTGCAAATGGAAGCGATTAGGTCTCTTAATTCTGCGAGATGAACCTCTGGTTTGACTCCTCTCGCAGGTTTCCTAGGAAACACATGTCTGCGATTTGACCCTAGCTAGAAGCGGGCTGGCTGCGACGGCTTCTTTGATGGCCCAGGGAGTATGACGCAGACTCCCTAGCCAGGAAAAGTGGTGTGGGTCGGGGGTGTTGGCAAAGAACGTTTCTCGGGATTTTAATGTTCCATGGCAGAGTCGTTCTGATGGGATAAAATAAGTTATAGGCCGGTCAAAATTTCCCCCAGAGCATACTGTATGGCATATGCCCGTCTTTATTAGCCCAGTCGGTACAAAAAAAATACGACATTAAACCCCATTTCAATTCATTATGGAAACAAATATCCAGCACATGGTTCGCCCTTTGTTTTTATTGAATAAGACTAATTCAACTTGATGTTTATTTCAGGCTAAAAGATTTCCTAGTCAAGAAGACTTAATAGATCGATTAGATGCCAATATACAGTGGGAAGAATTTAAACAATTAACATTGGATACATTCCTACAACAATATCGTGATAAAAAACAAATATTCTAAACATGCGATACCACTTCTCGTTATGGTAGATCCACTCGCTGTCGTATTTCAGTCGATTTTCCGGAATTCGTTCACGGGTTTTTGTATTGGTACTGATTAATTGAGTTTAACTTATATTACTATTATTTTACTAATTGACGGCGATTACCAATTTTACAGGTCTGTGTCGTCACGAATTTTGTTTTTCTTTTTTACATCAAATAAAAACAGTTTTATTGCCGGTCCTGCTTAGACCGGCAGTGGGGAACTTAATTTATATTAGGTACAAATTTCTATCCTGGATATCCTTGATTTTGGTACGAGTTTATTACCACGAGTAATAAGAACTCCAGGAAAATACCATATCAAGCAAAGACAGGTTTCGGTTTCAGATTGGATGTATTATTATTATTACAGCATATTTATAGCGCGCCCTTTCATATAACATGTTCAGGTGCACTTTACAAAGTGACAATATAAACATAAATAAACAACAAGATTATGGACATGTTAACGATTGCATACAGAATCAGTTAAAAGCCAATCTTTCGATGGTCTACAGTACATGAAGATCTGACAAGTTATACTATAAGGTCGTGTTAGGGGTCGTACGAGCGACTTTTGACCCTATGACGTCAGACTGGTCCGTCCTACAAATATTCTAATTTGTCCGTCCAACAAATATTCTAATTTGTCCGTCCAACAAATATTCTAATTTGTCCGTCCAACAAATATTCTAATTAATCCGTCCAACAAATATTCTTACTGATCCGTCCAACAATATTCTAACTGATCCGTCTTACGAATATTCTAACTGCATTCAACCATTGTATAAACTCATTACGTCATCATATTGTACATGTATTATGTTTTATTATATATAACTAATATAATTTATCTGATAATATTAAATATAATTGTTGTTCATTGTTTCGATTTGCTAGTGGATCTTGTGCCACGCCACGATGGCTCAGTGAGTATACGCTAGTTCACTAACCAGGTCTGGGTCATGACGTGGATTTAACATTTAAGTCAATTGGGAGAGGATTACTAGTCAAAACCCAAACATTCCACCAGTTACTGGAGTTATCTCCCTTTAACTACTTAAACCGTAGTTACGTCTTAAACAATTTAAAGCCTCATAGATACGAACATAGTTTTAAGATAAACTCTAACAGCTACTAATTTATTTAGGCGACGTTTCGAACAGCAATCTTCCCGCGTTATCAGTTAATAGTTAATTGCTCTATCTAGTTATTAAATGTCAGTAAAAGATTATTAATCTGGAAGATGTTTTGCTGTATTTGTGTTTATGATAGACATGTTTCTAGATTAAAACTAGAATAATACTCACCATTTTATCGAAAAAAATTGTCATTGGTAAGTTGTATATATACCAATAAGTTGTATATATATACCACTCCTTAAAGTGTTCTTAGTAAGTTGTCTGTATACCACTCATTAATGTGTCATTAGTAAGTTGTACAACATACCAACCTGCCGTTTATATTACTGCTTAGTAAATATACATTTACTAAGCAGTAATATAATCGTCAGGTTGGTATGTTACTCTGAAAAGACGCATTGCATAAAACTTGCCAAATGTTTTTATTGTATATTTGTGACCACATGTCCAACTTTACCTGAGCAATAAGGCTCCTTCCCAAACACAGAACTGAACCCAGGAAATGTTCTCAAAAACGCAACCTGACTTCTGAGATGATAATGTGCTGAACGTGCTGTTCACCGGGACCAGCCCTAAAAAAATGCACCCCCATACCGGCTTGAATCATTCACACTACAACGGCAGCAGCATGCCACGACTCACGACAGGTCAGAGGAACCAGGCGCTTGGAAGACTCGACGCAAGTCACACTGCCCAAGCCGTTATCAATCACTTCCAGGTCAATGTTTGGACCATCTACAGGCTTCGGCAAAGCTTTCAGACCACCAACACCACGGATGATCGCCCCCGAACTGGTAGACCAAGGGTTACCACAAGGCGATAAGACCACCATGTTGTGCGACAGCACGTACAGAATCCCTTCACACCGGCATCTGAGACAGCACGTCAGACAATGGGAACACAAGGAAGACCCATCAGTACCGATACAGTGCACCGACGTCTCACCAGAGAGAACATCCATTGCCGTAGACCTTACCGTGGACCGATCCTCGCCATCGACGTGAACATCTACAGTTTGCCCAACAACACAAGAACTGGCGACACAGGCAAAGTGTTCTGTTCGCAGATGAGAGTCGGTATTGCGTATCAACTGCAGATGGCAGGACCAGAATATGGCGTCGACGTGGACAGCGTTATTCTGACCAATGTGTCATTGAACGAGACTCATGGTGAGATCCACCCTGAGAGTGAGTCCTGTGGTGTTCTAACATCTTGGTCCAGGGAGAGGAGGCGGCATCACAGCAGTGCGCTACATCGATCAAGCTCTCAGACCCCACGTCATACCACATTTCGCACGTCATCGAAACAACGTTTTCCAGCATGCCAACGCCCGTGCCCACACTGCCAGAGTTACTCTGGACTTTCTATGTTATGCACTGGCCAGCCCTTAGTCCGGACTTAAACCCGATTGAACATATTTGGGATGAAATTCAGAGGAGGCTTAATAACGTCCTACCAAGACCAAACACAGTCGATGGATTGAGCCGGGCTTTTCTGAGAGTTTGGTTCCGAGTGCCAATGGCGTTCATCAATCGTCTGGTCCGCTCCATGTACAGACGCTGCGCTGCTGTTATTGACACTCGCGGTGGACACACCAGATACTGATGTGAAGTATAGACTGTGTACGGACTCTAAATCTTCTCGTAATGTCTTGAAAATGTGATGAATTAATTGCTTTAATCCATTCAGCAAGTCGTTTTCTGGAATGATTTGATTAAAGTACCTCTCTGATTTTGAAATCGTACCGACGTTTTTTGCTGTTAAGTATATAAAACTCATTAAAGTGTCATTACTAAGTTGTATATATTAGTAAGCTGCTCGTCATTTGGAGTTTATCCACGATAAATTTTAAAACATACTCAAATTGATTATTTAACCTTTTTTTTTTTTTTTTTTTTGAAAAAATATTAAACTAAAATATCAACAGTAGAAATCTTGTGTTCAGTGAGAATAAAAGGATCAATTAAAAACTTTTACCCAACCTTTATAGTTTCCGAGAACATCTCTGAAGACGTGACGCACTTTCAAGGTTCAGGTCGCACAAATCCGCATTCTTGACAAAACCCGACGAACAAACAATCAAGGATAGGTCTGGCTAAGTTGTAGTTGTACCGTAACAGTGTTTGAGCGGTCATCCTAAACATCCACTAGGTTTAAAGTCAGGTATAAAGTCCGGTATAATGTCATCAAAATAAAATTAAGTAGCCATAAAACGATATAATTACACCATAAAACACATTTCCTGAAGATTGACTGGAGCAAAAGGTGTACTGTTTGAAAGTGTTTGAAATCATACTGGACTCTGCCCCAAACCCTGCTCCACTGGAAGGGGGTGGAGGGGGGCTAGACTGGAAAATCCCGAGGATTGTGCGCATACACATGGCGCCACTGTAGTTCTTCTGCATTTATGAAATGAATTGAAATGGGATTTAACGTCCTACTGTTCTGCTCTGACTGAGATAATGAAGACGGCAATACACTATACATTGTGCTTTGAGGGGCAGTTTGCCCGGACATGTTTTATTATGAAAACCTGCGATAATAAATATTTGATTGGATTTCGCTTAAGGCAAATGACTTTCTAAAATCAGGTTCCATACGATGAATATAAGTTAAAAAATTTGCGGTGGCATTGTATGATTTCTTTCAAAACCAAAATAAGTTCCATACGAAAAATTAAAGCTAACTATTTTTGCTGCGCAATATTTGTGCAACTTTAACTACGAGTCGTTCTAGATCAGCGACATGATTGATGCAGAAGCTAGGGCATTGATTGGTAAGATTAATGGTTATTCAGTTGGCCTGGGGATAGACAGGTCTGTTTACGTTCTGGAGAGTTCGTCGGCCTGACATGGTGTGTACTAGAAACACTAGTAATGGGTTGGTCAGTTATCGGGTCATGTTTACGAACAATTTCGTCCATGCTGTTGTCTCCTACATCCAGACAACAGACAGACATGTATGTCCATGTTGTTGTCTCGTACACCCAGACTACAGACAGTCATACTGTTTACTATAACTCTTACTATCCTAGCGTATCGTAGTATTATAGAACGAGAAACTCCTAACCCTTACCAGTCAATGAACCTCCTGACCTTTGACCTCTTAACGTTGTTGTCTGGAAAGGGATTTTATTATTATTATTATTATTAAAGGTCGTAAAAATAAAACGAAGATTTCAGAATGAAATAAATAGCTTTTCATACACTGAATTAAAAGAATCGATACGAAATATTTCAATCAGACATGAAACAGAGTTTAACGTTCTACTTTTCTGCACCAAACGGACTAATGAAAACGACCATGCACCGTGTAGTAAGCTATAAGATAATTTTTTTCTGGGCAGCGCCACTATACAGCCTACATCAATATCGAATTGGAGCCACTGTGGCTCGGTGGGTTGGACGTTGACTTGCTAACCTGGAGGTCCTGTGTTCGATCCCTGCGTTGCATGGCCGTGAACGTACATCGAAATTTTCTGGCGTGGTTCCCCTTTGTTAGTGGTGTAGAGTGCCTGACAAGGTACAACGTATAGTCGTTCGGATGGGACGAAAAACCGAGGTCCCATGTACACATTGGCGTGCACGTAAAAGATCCATTGACAGCTGGAATTTGATATAAGTGTAGGTCGTAGAAATTTCCCCCATAGCACATTGTCTTCATTATAAACCCAGTCGGAGCCGAAGAGTCGGACGTTAAACCCCATTTCATTTCTTTTCTTGTGTCTAGCGTGCAATGTGTAATTGTATAATCTAATCAAGTCATATGGCTAATGACTCTCTCAGCTGAACGCGTCTTGCTGCTCACTATTTCATCAATATATTTATGAGCAGTAGTGGACGCGTCGTAAAACGGCGCCCAAGGACAACTGACGATCAAGGACCAAAATAGTATAATTTATTAAGTTAACATAGTCAACAACAGTTCGTTTACTTACTCTATCACTGCGTATCACCGACCTATCCCATCTTAAATATGTCATCATGAATCATATTAATGAATGAATCCTGGGATTAACGACCCACCAACTGTACTAATGAAGACGAATGAGAGAGAAATGAGATTTAACGTCCACTCGACACAAACTATGTCATTTCGGGGCTAACATATGGTTGAATACCATTTCAATAATTCGCTTAGGGTCTTTAGCTATGGGTTGAAACCGGAGAACCCAGAGAGAACCAAAGAGGTTGGACAGGCTACCTCACTCCTTGTCACGTTCAAGCGGGGAATCGAGGCTACCCGGGCAAAAGTTCCTTCATAATAGAACAGTCCGGGCAGAACAGTAGGATGTTAAAAGCCGTTTCATTTCATTTCCACTTCAATTCATTTCACAAATCTCTCAGCCAATCATACTAAACTTACGCCGTCTGCCTACAACTAGCTCTCAGACAAACACGATAACAGTAACAGTAAATTTTCATTAATATTTATACCCCATTTTTTTCTAATTAGGTAAACTAGTTCTAAAAGAGTACTCTGATGTATTAACACAATAAAAACTAAAGGCGATTTACTGTTTGACCAGATGACTGGTTAAATCGTCAAACTTGATTAAACCAGGCGTCCATTTTACTATCTCCGATGTCGAGTAACTGCCATCTTGACGTGCGAGCTGGGAGTTAAGAAACTATGTGGATGTTCATAAACGACAATTAACCAGGGTT